AGACATGTCATGTGCTAAAGGGAAGGTGTTGGTGAAATGGAGAGAGGGGATTTGGAGAGGAAGGGAGGGAGATGAAGATTAGGATGTGTCTTAGGCATATGAACTCCCCACAATGAATGTCATCATTCTATGCTAATAAAAATATATACTAATACTAATAAAATATTTAAAACAAAAAAATGACCTGATGAAATCCAAGAAGGAATTGTCACCCATCTAGAATTTCACACACACACATACACACACACACACACACACACACACACACATCCTACTGATACAACATCAATTAAAAAGCAAGTAAGCACCATAGAAAAGAGCAATCAAACATACTTGTAACCTTGATTTTGAGCATCCTATGCTCAGGGCTCAAAAGAAAAAAATATGATTCTTTAAATACCTAGCTTGTAGTATTTTGTTATGACAGTCCCAGCAAACAAATGTCATTGCCAATGATGAAAGTGTAAGCTTAGGGACCTAGGAGGAGAAACAAGCTGTACCATGTTCTTCCTTTCTAGTGATTTAGAGAATCTGTGCTTTAGAACTCTGCCACCTTTGGCTTTGCCAGATTGTACATCGTGGCTTCAGTCTCATCTGTCAGAGATGCAGTAAGGGCTTCATTGAACTGGAAGCTGCACGCTAACATCTGGCCAGTTAGCACGCCTTATCATGTGGTGAGTCAGAAAAGAAGAGCCTCCTCAGCACCAGCGTCACTGGTCCTTATTAAGTGAGGAGCTTGGACTCCTGCAGGAAATATAATTTACGGCAATTACTGGTGAAGTCAGGGTCTCTTGGTGATTACTTGCCAAGTTATCTCAATAAACGGTAAACTGCACCAAAGATAACTGAACAAATAGAAGGTAGCTAGGGGGCTTCATCCTGCACAATAAAATGTCCAGGTTGCTCCCCTTAGTCTAGTCTTACCCCATCAGCAGAGTGAGCCAGTGAAGTCAACTTTCTGCTAATCTATTCAGTTTAAAATTGTACCTCATAAGGGCTGACCAGACAGCTCAGTGGATTAAAATGCCTGCTTAAGCAAATGCAGGGGCCGGGGTTTCTATCCCTGGTCTGCTGTACTGACCCTGCCCACAGGGCGCACTGAGACAGAGAATGAGACTGGGCATGGTGGCACAGACCTGTAATCCCAGTACCTGAGAAGCTGAAAAATGTCAGACCCTGTAGACCCTGTACTAAATACATAAAAATTTGTACCTCATGATTTCAATGTTATTCATTAATGACTAATACAGTTGAGTATTTTAATAAAATAACTTATTTCATATCTTAGTTCATATTCATGAATTATTTATCTGACTTTTATTGGATTTTCAGATATTTTCTTGTTTTTTTTTTTTTTTTTTTAGAAAACATCCTGACTACTAATAATTTAATTATAATGTCATTCCTCATACTTCAGGATCAAATGCTCTTTATTTTCCTGTTTTTTTCCTTATTCATGTTGTGAGAAATGTGTTAAATTTAAAATTTACTCAGAAGTACATTTGAATTTCATATGTATTTTATGTGTATTTTTATCTTATGCAATTTATTGTATTTCCCTCCTACCATACTTATGAAATTTATTCAGCCATTCATTTTAATATCTCAAGTTGTTATGTTTTTTGTCATTACTTTTCAACCTTCGTTTTAGGGCAATTTAAAGCTATGCTTTTTAGGGGCCGGGGAGATGCTTCAGTGGAATAAGCGCTTCTCTGGCAAGCATAAGGGCTTGAGTTCAATCCCCGGTTCTGCAAAATAAATAAATAAATAAATAAATAAATAAATAAATAAATAATAAATAAAGCTACATTTTTATATATGCATATTTAGTACAGTGTCTACAGGGTCTCACTACACAGATCAGACTCCTAATGATCCATCCTGTTTTTCAACCTCCCAAGCCCTGGGATTATAGGTATGCGTCACCATGCCGAGTCTCATTCTCAGTGTCAGCATGCCCCACAGCACTCCTGGCTGGGGAGCAAACCCCCAGCCTCTATGTCTGCTAAGTAAGCACTTTAATCCACTTAGCTATCTGACTGGCCCTAAAGCTACACATTTTTAATTGTGGTTGTAGCTGCATTGTTTGTGGTATTATTATCCTTAAAATATAAATCTTTTCTGATTTGCAATGTATAGATTCAACGTTTAAGGTTATTTCAGATACAAACATTGTCTTAGAAGATAGCACATTTTTAAATTGGTAGAAACTTGTTAATAGCTCGTAATATTTTCACTGTACATACATAGCCAATATCAGTGTAAAAGCAATGCTTGTTGCACAATTTTCAAATATAATGTGATATAACTATTGTATCAAATTTCTTAGCTAAACTTTCTTTGAAAATTTATCTCGCCTTTTAATCTGATATTTTGCAAGTATGGTAAAACTGCTGTATTCCACTACATTGATAAAATTTTAAATTGTTTTTTACATGTTTTAGACATATATTATCAAGAAATTTGTAAATTATATAACTGACTGGTGTAATTTTATTCATTATCCTAGTATATTTTGCATTAAATATGTCATGTCATTTAATTTTGTCTAGTATTAGAATGGCTACATCAACTTTTTTGTTTGTTTGCTTTGCTTAGTATTAACCCGATGCTCATTATTTTTCTTTCATGCTGACATTGGGGAACCTTCTTTTTGTCTTCATACTATACAATCTGTGCTAGTCTAATATTCTGCAGTTTAGTGTTCTGCTGTCCAGAAGAGTCATGAGTAAAATATTGTTCATTTTCTTTATTCTTTAACAAGTAGCTAGAATGATCTTTTGTTTTAACAATTCTTAAAATAGTAAAATTCATAACATAGTAGTTAATACTAATTTTGTTCATACAGGAGGATCACTATGAGTCTGAGCTGCATAGTGAGACCCTGTACCAAATACCTAGAAAATAAAAATTAAAATAAAACCCAATTTTGTTCATGCCAAACATTACATTCTTGTGTATGTTTTAAAACAATAGAACTGTTCAAAGACAGTCATCTAAAAGCCATTTTACCGAGGGACCCTTTAAAAGATCCACTGAAAACTAATGTAATATTAAAAAATATTATCCCTCTCAAATTACAAATACTTCTGGGTAGAATGAATGATATTTCCTTACTGACTTTTGGAGATGTATGATTCAGATAAGAAAAAGAAGATGTGAAAAAATTGACAAAATAAAGAATGTACACAAATAAATCCAGAAAACTTTATTTTACTGGAAAGCTTATCTACTAAAGATTAGTGCAAAGGGAAAATTTTTTGGTGGTTTTATTTGAGGGAGTTGAAAGGTGGTTCATAGTTCCTTCCTCCAATTAAGTAAATAACCATAAGAGTGCCTAATGATCAACTGCTTTTTAAATTTAGTAGAGAGGGCTGGGGAGATGGCTCAGTGGAATAAGCGCTTCCTTGGCAAGCACAAGGGCCTGAGTTCGATCCCCAGTTTAAATAAATAAATAAATAAATAAATAAATTTAATTAAGAGAAACTGTGTAAGGAAGATTAAAAAGACATTCCTGACACATCATTGAAACACTGGAAAAGTTAAGAGAGTTAAAATAAAACTTTCAGAATGCCTGAGAGAATTGTAAGAAAAGCTAAAATTAAAGGAATGAACATTTTTGTCCTGACTGACAGTAAATAAAAATTCTCACTATAAAGCTCAAGGCATTGGTTTTATTTTTTATTCCATACTCTGAAATACATCACACGCACACACACACACACACACACACACACACACCTTTTCCTATCTTCAAAGACAAACCCAGTGTAAAGGATCATGAGTGAGAAGAGATAGAGAAAGAGGAGTAGAGGAGGTAAAAATAGAGATGAAGAGTGATACAGAGATTGAGATTTGAGATGATGCAAGCAAATATTCACCAAATGATAAAGTATGACCTAAATGTTCTGCTTGCTTCAATCTATTGTTAAAATATGTAAGACAGGTTTAAAAAGCAAAAAGCACTGTAGCTCTCACAGCAATCTCTTGAGATTTCCAACTGTCACCATTTGAGAACCTTTGTTGTAACTAAAGGAAGTTAAAATTACAGCAGTCAACATCATTTACTGAGCAGAGCTGGCCAGGCTTATGAGATGATTCTAGAAGCTACTGATTCTTCTGGTATCTGCTTGTGCTCATGAACAACATTGCCTTAGCTTGGCCAGCCCTTTTCACGTGTATGGATTTATTGTGGATCCTTGAATTTCAACATAAGAACTGAGAGACAGGGTCCCAACCCAAAAGATGCTTCTTTACTAAACTGCATTTGCGTGAAGTGAGGGAGGGTCCCTCTCTCCTGGGTCTGCTACCTAATATACCAAACCGCTGATTCTTCTAATTCTTATCCCTGAGGTTTTCTTTCCAACTCCCCTCAGTAGCAGTTTGGGCTTTACAATGCTTCCTCGCTGCTCACCCCCGCGCCCCTGACCCAATGCTCCCCCTGACCCCCGCCCCATAAGATGCTAGGTACCTCCTTCTGTTGTAAGTGGCCCGTCACTCTATCCTGTTGTACGGTCGTGATTGGCGGATGAGACAGGTCGTCTAGCCCCTCCCCCGCCTCTCTTTGCCGCTCTGGGCTTTTTCCCAAAGGTGAAGAACGAGATTCAGAAAAGCACCCTATGGAGCAGGTGGCGAGAAACATCCGTGATTTGGCTGTTGCTTCTGCTCTTCCTCAAAACGTGGGTTTGAGCCAAGACAAGACAAGCATTGTTCCCCGGCTACATTGAACTGTTGATCAGAACCGAGGCACTTTAGACACTTCATTTCCCTCCTTTCCCTGGTTTCAGTGTAAGAATCACTTGCACATTTGAACCCCCTTGTCTCTCATTCCTGCTCCGTGCTCAGAGGAGAGCAGAACAGCCTCAAGTGTCTGGACTAGAGTCCGGGACTACGGGGGAGCTGTCCAGGGTACTGAAGCCTCGCGAGTATTGTCTTTCCACCAGCACCGTATCGGCTTAGACTGCACTTTCTTATTTCTGTCTTTCTGATTTCCCATTCCCTGAATAAGGCTGTTTTCAGGATCGTGAATACCTCTCCGTATCATGGCTCACAAGAGACACTTTCGGACACGAGTTTCAGGATTTTACCTCTGGGAAGCAACACTTTTACTCAGGTGAGTTCTTTTGCATGTTTAACATTTGGAGAACTCACTAAAGCTATACATTAGGTTGCAACCACTTGTTATTGATGACGCTGAGAAATGTGCAAATCTAAATGGATCTAGTGAAAATACCACTTAAGTTGTATTTTTTTCTAATCTAAAAATGTCCGGCAGCCTATTGAGTTTTCAAAACTTGGTAATTTTCCTCTATTTTCAAAAATTCCTGTAATTTTTTTGAACCTTGAATTCTATCATATTTTCATGAAATATTATTATAGAAAAGCAAATATTTCCAAAGCCTAGGTTTGAGCTATTGCTTTTAGAATTTTTAAGTGAATTATGTATTGTGGGCTTTACTTTGTTGTGAAAAGTTATGAAATATTTACAAATTTGAAATAAAACATAACTAACTTTTTAGAAGACAGAAATATATAGCATAGGATTAGTTGATCAGACATACTCTGAATTTTGGTGATATATTAACAAACAAAAATCCAATGAACAAGCACTAAGGGCCTTTCAGGTACGATTAGCTAATGACCCACTTCAGTAATATATATAAAGGCAAGATGCTAAATCATTAGACATGTTGTATGTGAAGAGTTATCTTTTTAAAGAAACTATCATGTTGAATCTAGTAAAAGGTAAAATTATTCTGTGAAAACATCATTTGGTATTATTTTTCAATCATGTTAGATAGGCTTCTTTCCTTTGAACTAAGTTAAAGAGGATATCAGAGTCTGGACAGATATCTTGATACCTGTTCTTAATCAAACAACGTACAAAATCAATATAATGTTCACACAGATATTTGAACCTCTGATTTACACTTTAGTATCACCACAGAATTGTCATAAAGTATCCATATGTATGACTAATAAATTTATCAAGAGGTTGAAGTTAGGTGGTTAGTATAAGTTATTGGTATACTAGTTTCTATTTGAGGTATGGGAATTTTTTTCTGCTAGTAATTTTATTTTTAGACTACTTTAAAAAGCATAATGTATAGTACAGAATGTCATGCTATTTTGATATGCCTGTATAAAAAAGATCTTGTTGAAAGGTTATTGTGTTTCCTAGCTTGGTGATTTTATTATGACATAAGGCTTTGAACTACTTTGAGTCACTGTATTTTCAGTAAAAATATGTTTTAACATGACTTCCTCAATTTACAATACACAACTTCCAGGAATTTTACATTTAGTGGAGTCAATGTGTAAAGCTTTTATATCTTTGAAAATTTTATGGAATGGCATACAAAGTTCATATTGAAATTCATATTAAATATTTTATAATAATTGCTTCTTTAACATTTAATATCATCAGAGATAATATGCATTCTTAGTGAAATCATGTTAGTATATCTGATAATAGTTAATAAGTAAAAATTTTTGATCGTCAAGGCCAATTTTTATAGGAACAATTTACCATGACATAGATAGCAGTATATTCCTAGACAATAATTTTCATCTCTGTATTCTCTGATGTTAATAATTGTACTAAAATTCAAGAAAGGTATTTTAAATTGAGAATCATAACTTACTTTCATTAATTTGAAATGATTTAATTAAAAAAGCTTCTTATGAATAATCCAAATATATAATCCCTTCAAAAGTAGCACACCCAATGTAGAAGTTTATGTTATACTTCTGAGCTTCATTAAATTTTCTCATTTTTTGTTCATAAATCAAATGAGACTTTTCCTAGACTGCTCTTTTGAAGGTAGTTCATCACTCTATGAAGAAGTTTAATCATATGTAAAAATTATAGATTTTCATTTTCAGTGATGCTCCTTTGAACTTGATTTTTATAGAGTAAAGAAAGGGAAACTTCTATAGCAAAGAACTTGTGAATTAAGTATCTTTATCAAAGCTATTATTTTTCATTAAATCTATTGGCAATAGGTCGATGAAAAGAAACAAAAAGAAAATGAGTGAAGGAGAAAATAAAGAGAAAGAGTATTTAACATAAATCCTACTTATTTGTTTTTAAATTACATTAATTTTATTTTGAAGTTTTATTTTGTCTTTACTGGGAACATAACTTTTATTCATACTTATGGTTTATAGTATGAGGATTTGACAAATGTTTACATTGTGTGATGATCAAGTTATATTTATCACATCCATCACCTCAAACATTGATCATTTCTTTGAAATGAGAACATATGTAATCTTCTCCCCAACTTATTTTGAAATATTGTTGTAATATTCTTAACTCACCCTATAGATCTATAGATCTATAGTACACCAGAACTTACTCCATTTATTTAACTGTAATGTAGGAAAAAAACAAAAATTTTGCCAGACAGTACAAAGGCAAGAAAAAAACTCCCATACTACCACCTTTTATACTTAAATTATTTGCTGGTCTGAAAATTCTCTCATAGGTTTTAAAGTTTGCAAATTTTATTTTACATGTATATGTATGTTTTTAATTTTATGCATAAAGTTTCATAAAGGGAACACAGCCAACTGAAGAACTCACAAATCACGAAGCAGAAGTGTTAGTGCTACAGGGCATCAGAGCTGTCTGTCCTAGCAGGTGAACATTCCAAGCATTAGCATCACGAAGTAATCATTACCTTGTCATACGATAAATGTATATAAGTACATATTTGAGTCTTTTGTTTTCTGAACATTATTTTATATTATTTAACATATTTTAGCCTGTAGTTCAAACTTATTCTCATTGCCATATGGTATTCTACTATTTGAATACAACACAATGCATTCATTCATCCAAAGTCCTCTTCACTTGTATTTGAGGTTTGTCAAGTTCTGGCTGTCTTACTGTGGCTTTAGATGCTCCTGGGCAGCTTTTATGGTAAACACACATGTGCACTGTTAGGACTTGTATGATAGGTTTAAGACTTTCTCTAGGAGAGGAACTGCTGTATCATAAGATGGTTATAAACATGCTTAGTATTAATAAATATTGCCAGTTTTCTAAAATAGTTGTACCTATTGGTATTCTATTGGCATTATCTGATAGTTCCTGTTGCTTACAAATATAAAACTGATTAGTATTATATTACTATAGATATTTCCAACATTTTCTGAGTATTATTGCAAGGCCATTGGCTATATTTTTCCTCTTCTATTTGTGGCTAATTTCTACATGTTAGTAAGTAAGGTTGTTAGATGCAAAATAAAAAGAACAAAATCATATGTTACTGTAGTACAACCAGAAGTATATCTTACCAGAATATGTCTGGTGTAGGACATTATTTAAGGGAAGATCTTGTAGTAAAGGTAGAAAATTACAAAGATAAAATGAAAATATAAATGTCCAAGTAATAAATATTTTAAAGCTTTTATGTTTTGTTCAGATATTGCTATTTTATTAAAATTATTTTATGGCTTTTGGATTTTGATTCTCATAGTAATACATAACAAACTTTACTGTTCAACTTTTTGAAATGCGGATATGTTATAATTATGAAATACTTGCCAAAACAGAAAAACTTAAAATTTTCTTTAGATTGATTATTTGATTTACTACTTGAAAAAAAATTATGGCATATCAAGTCAAAAATTGACTTGTTACATATTTAGAAAACCATGATAATCAAAAACAAATTATTTTCTAGTTTATTTCAAAAGCTATTCCTTTTGGTAATGAATTTACTGGTTTTTGCTTTTGTCATGTTTTAGAGGATGAGAAAAATCCTTTTTTAACATTTTGGGGACTTTTCAAATGCAACATGTTGAAGAAAAATGTTCTTCAATAGCTTTTACTACAATGATGATTCATTACATGCAGGTATAATAGCAAAAATCTATATAGTTTTTAGAATTATACAATAAAAATATTGTTTCCTTTCTGTTTGAAACATCACAAACTTCAGGAGAATTACAGCTCAGCTCCCTAGTTAATCTCTCTTGCCAGTTAGCCAGCAGATCCAGAGAGCAGCTTGAAAATATTTCCTCCAATGCAAACTTTGTTCTCCCTAAACCATATAATTGTGTGAAGAACAGATGAAACATGCTCCATGTATAATATTAAGCTATCTAGTAAGATTCATTCACCAAATTTTGTGAACAAATTTTCATTCTATGTACAGTCTGCTATAGATGATTAGGAGACTGCCAATTTTTCTACCATAAACCTTATAGTCTAGGAGAAAATGCAAAGTGCAAAGGGTCAAGAGAAACACAAATGTTTTATGGAATGTGAAGTTGAGAAATCATCAAGAAAGCTTGATACTTGCATGGAGCCATATAAAATTCTTATCCAATGGCCAGAAATGAGATGTAAAGAACTACTCTATGAAAAAGGAATTATACATTTAAATGCAATACTCATGGAGAATGGTGATGGTCAAAGTCAGCAGGAGTAATTGAGTACATCTAAAATTCTAAAGTATTCTATGAGCAACAACTTTTTTGTTAGTTTGTTTGTTTGGGTTTGGGTTATTTTTTTTTTTTTTTT